AGCAGGGAAAAGAAATGGTCTGTTGAACTGTGATTAAGAGGAAACATGTCACTAAAAAGCTGAAGTGAGTTTTCCAGCAAGCTGCAGTGAAAACACTAGTACCTGCAAAACAAGAATCTGTCCCGTCCGCAGGTTCAGAAAAAGAAGAGCTGGTTTGCTTTATACAAAGCATTGTAGGCATTCTTTGACATTCGTCAGCTTAATAACACCTAAAATAACAATGTGCAATTAAGGTTAGGGTGTCATGGGGTTTATTAAGTGTTTCAGGCTGTTGAGAGATACTCGTTGTTCAGCTGAAGTGAATAATTTGTAAGTAAAAAGAGTAACAGTCTAGCTGTTAATATATGAGATGTGATTTAGTATGTTGATTGCTTGGCCTGGGTAGCTGGATTTGATGAAGCCTTCAACCTTAAGCTGTGAACTTTGCTAGAAATGTTTGTTTCTGGAACAGAATTAATTTCCTTAATCTTCCTAATAGCTGATACAGAGCTGTATTTTATCTGTGTTGTGGGAAGGACATTGATAACAAAGGGATATTTTAATTGCTGCTGAGGACTGCTTACCTGGGCGAGGGCTTTTTTAGTTCCCTGTGCTTTGCCAAGGAGCAGAGGCACCAGCTCAAACCAGAGATCAGCAGGCAACAACCGCCAGCAGAAGCTGCAGTTCCGCATGAGCTGAATGGCCTGCCTGGACGTGGAAAAGCTCCCAATAAGGTGCTGTAAGGCCCCAAAAATCATCAGTGAATTAAGAGGTGCAGGCAAGATGGGTGAGGGGCAGGTGCCTAATTTCTGCAATTCCCTGGGGATTTCTTTGTTCAGGGTTCCTCTCCAGAGACACACAGTTTATCTGCTGCTCTAACACTCTGTTAAATTATTTATTTTTATCATCTGATGCCTGAAACTCTGCTTTGGGAAACCTGCTGTCTTTAATATAAGTCTTTGTGTTTATTACATGAAAATTGTTCTTTAGGAAGCTATTATCATCTCTGAGGCTTTTTGCTCTTAATATTTTTTTTTTTTTTTTTTTAGTTTACAAAAGTCTCTTCCCAGAGCAAACAGTGCTGAGAATGAATGCTCAGGAGCTTCTGCTCTTGTCTAGGCAGAACCTGTGGGTTCAAGTTGTGATGATACAAAACAGCAGACAGCTTTTAATCAGATTTGTTCGGGTTTTTTGTTTTTTTTTTTTTTTTTTCCCCAGGGATGATTTGTGCTTTCTTTCCCATCCCTCCTTCCTGTCAGCTCAGGCAGAAAATGTCACTTACTTTCTCATTTTGATATCTAGCTCGGGCAGAAAATGTCACTTACTTTCTCATTTTGATATCTGCTGGCTGATTGAAAGAAAACTACGCAAAGAAGGGTGAGCCAGTTTTGTGCACAGAAAGGAATATGATGGTGCAGTCACAGTTAGGTGGGAAAAGAATGGGGACAAAATCCAGAGAGGCTGGGCTGTCTCTGCAAATCTGACCTTCAAAATACTTCTGCATTTCTTCCCTGAAGTGCAGATTCCCTAGTGTACAAATTGTGTGCCTTTACAAGTGAGTCCATTATTTGAAAATATTTCCCAGGATAATTTAATGGTTTCTGCACACAGGTGTGTTCTGTGTGTGACTTGGAAAATAACATTTTCTGTTGGAAGAATCCAGCACAGAAGTTTTTACAAAATTGCCTTTTAAAATTTTCATTGCAGTATCTGTTCACCAGTAAAAGGAGAGTGCTATTTCTGATCAACGTCTAGTTAAGTATCCATCTGTGTCTGTAAGCATCACAATTATTTTCAGTGCTGTGTTCTCATTTCAGTAGAAAAATGGTCTTTTGCTTGCACCACCATGGGATTTCCTCTTCTAGTACTGTTACTAGAAAGGTGAGTGGCAAGAAAGGAGTGGGAGTTTTCCAATAAAGTCTGTTCTTGCTGTTCTATACATTTTTCAGGGAGAACTAAATACAGACATTTTTTTTCTTTCTTTGAGACAAGGCTTTCCTTGGCATAGATATTTTTTGCCAAACGGACTGTATTCTTCCCTGAAGCAAAGTCTGTTTGAATCATGGTAGGGTTATGTTTTTCCCACTGAGAGAAAGGCAAAGCTCTGGTTTATAAATATATATAAAGGAATTGGTGATGTCTAAAGAGCCAGTTAAATAGACCTGTAGAGTACAAACCTTACCAGAACATGTGTGTTTTTTTCTATATACACATAAACATATCAGTGTCTTGAAATTACTATTCTGTCCTCTACTGCCAACTCACTGAAAATCACTGTATGAGGGATCACACCAGTGTGGTTGGCATAGTTAAAGATCCCACTTAATATTAAAAAAATCCAAGAAAATAATTTTAATTGAGCTGTAGCAGGGTGGCGATGTGCGGATGAAGCATATTTTTTTTTTGTGGCTGATAGACCAGAGGATGGAAAGGCAACTTCAGGTGTTGTTACAACCCCTTTGGGAGCTGTGAGGCAAATGGTGTTTCCAAATGTTTCCACTTTTGTGGAAAAAAGTCTACAGCTGACTTTGGCTGTCCTTTAGCTTCATGTCAAACTCTGTTCTTTGTGCTCCCCAGGCTAAAAGGTTGCACAATGCAGAAATTGTTCATCAGTTTTTAGTTTGAATATTTAAGTATATTTACATTTGGCCAAGCAAATACTCTTTTGGTTTGTGTCTGAGCAACCAGTATTTTCCCTGTGTGTACATTTCAAAACTCTAGAGAAGATATTTTTCATTTTATAGTGCATGGCCAGAGGAAAGCTGGGACCTGCACTAGCAGGTACAATACGAATTCCACTTGTTCTGTCATCAAATCTGTGTTTTACTTACTTGTATAATAGGAGAATTATTTGATAAATCACAGATTTGTGAATGAATTACGTACAAATATTGATTTTAATGACATGCCTTTATGTCTCAGAACATGTGTATTCATCATTTGGGTTTGTTGGTGCTCTACTGTAGCCTTGGAAATAAATTGTTCCTACATGATGTTTACTGCTTACATGAAATTGCTGTCTCCAGAAAGTCTTCTTCGAAGTTGCTTTCAGGAGAGGGTTACTCAGCAAAAGTATGCACAGATATTTTTCCTGATTTGCTTGTTCCTCTATTCCACAATATGCTTTTTATTCTGGTTTTTGGAAGGGATATGCTGATTTAATTGTTTGGGATTTTGGGTTTGTGGTTTTTTTTTTCCTCATATTTAGCAGGCTTGGTCTTGTCATCTCCATCTTTCTTGTGATGTCTGATATTAACCAACCTTTCTTTCTTTAGCTGGTGTTTCTCTCCCATGAGTATTTTCATCATTTCCTTACACCATACAGTAGTTCATTCATTAGCCTGAAGGAAGCATGAACTCTATTTTAGTATTCTTTAAAAATGAAGTTTCAGTTTGGGTTGGGGTACACAGGACAATTCAGAGCTTTGCACAACACCTTTCAGAAGCATGGAAATACCTTTATATTGTGTATTACATACATGTATGAAATTACATGTTTACAGGCAGCTTGGGATGGATCAGGAAACTGAAGAAGGATTCTCAGGGTACAGAAAAATCTCTCTGAACCATCTGTGCTTCCTCAGGGTGCTCAAGTGATGAGTGGCCTCCTCTGCAGAAGTGTAGTTTTTCAGATGAGATCTCACTGTTGTGTTTCTTACCTACAGTTTGTTTTTTGAAGTGCCATAAATTTATAACTTATTGTACTTCAGAAGCTGTAAAGGATTTGTTCCATGCCATTCATCTCTAAGTGAATGTGGTAATTGAAAGATCTTTATTCTGTGTTGTATTCCAAGAGAAAATTGAGGTGAAAGGCAAAGTGTGGATAATGAAGACAGAATGGTAACTATTGATCTCTCCATGAAAATTTCTTTGAAGTTGCTTCAGGTAGTTTTGGGTAGATAATGTGCAAGTTATCAGTCAGATTAATAGCTTGGTCTTTTTACTTGCAATGAAGAATGCAATTTATTAAATTAAAACTTGAAGTGAAATGTAGGATACTGCTGTGGATAGATAATGTTTTTTGCTTACAGGCCCTAGTATTTAATGCTTCTTTCCTGGCAGATTTGAGAGAAATGAAATCAGCCGTGAGGTTCTCACATGACCAGGGCTTTCACAGAGACAATCAAGGACTTCCTGAATGGTGAAACAGATATTCCTAAAACATCTTTCTGTTACTCACCAGCATGGTAGTGCTCTGGTGAGAGTAATCTGTGCGGCATGTAGCTAACACCTCTGGAGCCAGAGCCTCTGACAACTGCGCCTCTGACAACTCAGTAGCACTTCTTTATTTAATAAGTCTTTGGTATATAGGGTTCCCATGCAGAATGTTTCCACTGGGAACACCAGTTCCCATCCAATTCCAGTGCCATTTTTTGTGGGTGTGTAAATGAAGGATTAATTTGGTGTAACAGGACGAGTTCACTAGGAAAAGGTAAATTAAGAAAACCAACATGATGCTGAGCAATAAGATTCTCTTCTGTAATGCCAGCCTGGCAGAGCTGGGGCTGTTCACCTGCACAAGAGAAGGCTCCAGGGAGAGCTCAGAGCCCCTGCCAGGGCTTAAAGGGGCTTCAGGAGAGCTGCAGAGGGACTGGGGACAAGGCAGGGAGGGACAGGACACAGGGAATGGCTTCCATTGCCAGAGGGCAGGGACAGATGGGATATTGGGGAGGAATTGCTGGCTGGGAGGGCAGGCAGGCCCTGTCACAGGGTGCCCGGAGAAGCTGTGGCTGCCCCTGGATCCCTGGAAGTGTGCAAGGCCAGGCTGGATGGGGCTTTGGACACCCTGGAATAGAGCAAAGTGTCGTGCCTATTTAAGGGGATGGGATGGGGTGATATTTAAGGTCCCCTCCATCCCAAACCACTCTGGGGCTCTGTAAACTCATTCTGTCTGCAACCGAAAGCAGTGATTTGTTTAAAGTAGCACTGTGAAGAGCAGTGAGTTGTTTAAGGTAACACTGTGAAGAGCAGGCTGAGCTACCTGTGTAATTCTTTCCTACTGTTCTGTTCCTGTGCAGGCTGCTGCATTGCTGGAGACCACATCTAGCTCACCCAGCCTCCTAGACAATGTGCTCAGTGCTTTGAGACTGGAAGGACTTTGCTTTGCAATGAAGATGGAGGCAGTAGGAAAAGCAGAAGAACTTGTTGATTCAGAAACTCCACTAAAGACTTCTGAAAAGCAAGAGACTGCTCCTGATGAAGACAGGCCTATAGAACTTGAGACACAATCTCAGAAGGACAGCGTGTCCAGTGCAGCAGACTCTGCGGTGCTCTCTTCTATGCCTTGCTTGCTGATGGAACTGAGGCGGGACTCCTTGGAGTCTCAGCTGGCGTCTACAGAGAGCGACAAGCCAGTAGGTGGCCGAATTTATGAGAGTGACTCTTCTAACCACTGCATGCTTTCCCCTTCCTCCAGTGGGCATTTAGCCGACTCAGACACGCTGTCCTCCGCAGAGGAGAACGAGCCCTGCCAAGCTGAAGCCGCTGCGGAGGGAGACCCTTCTGCAGTGTCTGGGGCTGCGGCTGGGAGGAAATCCAGGAGATCCAGGTCTGAAAGTGAGACTTCAACAATGGCTGCCAAGAAAAACCGACAGTCTAGCGATAAGCAGAATGGCCGAGTTACCAAGGTGAAAGGTCACCGGAGCCAAAAGCACAAAGAGAGGATCCGGCTCCTGAGGCAGAAGCGGGAGGCGGCTGCTCGCAAGAAGTACAACCTGCTGCAGGACAGCAGTACCAGTGACAGTGACCTGACCTGTGACTCCAGCACGAGCTCATCAGACGACGACGAAGAGGTTTCAGGGAGCAGCAAGACAATCACTGCAGAAATACCAGGTAGAGGATGTTTTTTAAACTGAACTGTAACGCGCCTGACATCGTTTCTCAGCTGTCATGCTAAGTTAGATGAGTGACACTTGAGAAAAACCCAGGAGAACTGCAGCTCTGTGTAAATTTGAAGACTGCAGTGTAATAACAAGACGTGGGCAAAATTTAAAAAGTCTGTTCTGAGGTTCCTGTGCACTTTTACACACCAACAAAGCATAGATATGGTAAATGGGAGGAAGGACTACCTTTGAATTCTGGATTTTTCAGATCTTTGTAAGCCTATATGAGCTCATGTCAGTGCTGTCAAATTCCCTTAGATGGTGATAATCTAATTCTTAAGATAAGTGGCCAGCTTTGCTTCAATATGTAAAGCCCATAGCTTGGCAGCTGTGTTAGAAATGGCACAGCACGCCGCTTGCCTGTGTAACAGTAAGGCCCTGGCCTTTATTGCACTTATTCTATGCTTTCAGCTTGATATGTCAGTGCATGACAAACCTGCTTAGCCTTATTCTAAATTCTTTCAGATTGCAGCTGGTCACCTATTTTAGGATACAGATATGATTACACAGGTGCCCAAGCTATATTCGCACCCAAATTTTCAACATTTTAGACAAAGTTGTTACCATTTTCCTATGTTATTAGGATCAATAATTTCTACACTTTTAACTTTCTGACACATCTATGTTAAGATGGGAGGCAGGAAATTAGAGGGGCCTTCTTGTCATTTTATTAGTGTAATTTTATTAGCAAAAGAAAGTTGAATTCTTCAAGGTTTTTGTCTGCTGAGTCTTTGTTATTTTATTAGTCCAAGTGCTGTGGACAGGATTTTGTGTGAATTATTCTTACAGCATATTATACCATAGAACCATCATCATATGGCAATCAGAAATAAAATCCATAAAAATAAAAATACGTAAAAATAAACTTTTTTTGCTTGCCAATTTTTACTGGGTTACATGCCTTTTTGCCTGTTGTGCTAGAAGTTTTTTCTTTTTGAGAAAAATAACATCTTACACAGGGCAAGAACATTTAAAGGAAAACTGCGATATTAAGTTCCTGAACTAATGCTTTCTAGATTAATTATTTAAAATACTGCAGCAGATTTTATAAATAACGGATTTAACTGAGTTGATTATGATGGATGATGCTGTCACCACAAAAACTGGCATTTTTCCCACACCTGCTAGGAAGCAGGTTGCACAAAGGAAGTAAATGTTTATTATTAAAATGTCTGGAAAAGGCAAATATCCTCCTAATTATTGTGTAGTAAACTTTTTATAGAGATCTAAAATTATTTTTACTGATTTAGCAGTTAGTCTTGTAGCTTTCAGAGTTTTTGCCTTTTTATTTATAATATTTACACTTTGGGCAATTTAAGCCTAATTTAAAGCCTGTTGAAGAAGAGTGTTTCACTGTTTTGGGACAGGTTCTTCCCCACCTCTCAAAAAACACCAAAACACACAGAATAGGTCCCTCAGGTCACATTCTTTTTTTAAGTCATAAAAGTACCTTGTGACCCAGAATGGCACCACATGGTATTTTCAGGTTTCTGAGGGCCATTGTGGGGACCTGATGCCACTCCAGGATATTGTTTATGTGTCCCTGGGTTCTTCTGTATTTGCCTTTCAGTCCTGACCATGAATGAGATGCTTTTGATGAAGGGCTCCTATCACATGAAGAGCTTGACTATTACTGACAATTACAGCAAGACCCAGCTTTACCTGCAGTGTAAGAGTGCACAAACCATCACGAGGGAGGGACACTAGCATTTATTCTAATTTCACAGCACATGTCATCTGCTCGGTGCTGAGTTCTGTTTAAGACATTAAAAGGTTTGAGCTGCCCCCTTAGTGCGATGGGGCGTACCTGCCACATTGCGGTTTTCCTTTAAATAGAAACGGCTTTGTTTTATGGGAAACGCCTTCCAAGTGCAAGAGAAAAATACCCTCTGTAGAGATAAGAACGTGGTTTGTCCAAAAAACGCATCCTGTACTGTTTGTGGGTGAAGGAGATGTTGTGGTTGTCAGAGCTGTGGTGGAGCTGCGAGTCTGGTCGGACTCCAGCGCTCCATCGCAATGGTGGGTTCCCAGGCCATCTGCCATCCCTCTTCCTGGATCTGGCAAAGGACACAGTTCCTTTTTCTGGCTAGAAAGCCATTTTAGTGCACATAGCAAAATACTGTGAATAGCCTCAAAACTGAGGGAGTGAACATGTAGATTGAAAACAATACAGGGTATCAAAAAGTGTTACTGGAATTTCAGTCCGCCAGTGTTCTCTGCACACAGTGGAAAGCTGAAAGGTTTGACTTCAGTGTTAGGACATAAGCATGAAAAACTTTTGCCTTTACTTTCAAAAGAATTACCTATACACATTGATGATGAAAAATTTTTTACAGGCAGCACGTGTTCCCCTTAGTCTGTGTTTGGACATTCAGCTGCAGTCTTGGTTACTTACTCAACATCACTTATTTTCATATAATTTTAGTTTTTAGCCTTCTGTTACCTGAAAAACAGCTTTGCCAACAGAGATGCTTTAAAACTTTTAACGACAGGTAATTTGGCTCTCATGACAAAAATTACACAGACTCTTAAGCTGTCAACACAGGTAGTGTTACAGCAGGCAGTTTGCTTGTGTGTGGTCTGAAAAATTAAATTGCTACATTTCAGAATACAGTAATCTTTCACGTTGTGTCACTAAAACTCTTCCATTTAAATAGTGCAATAGTGTAAATAAATATTTTTTTAAAACCATCCACATCACTGATTCTGAAATATGTTTGGCTAAATTTGTAAGGTAAAGAAAATGTTCAGTGAAATACGTGATGATGATGATGATGCCATTAAGTTACAAACAGAGCAGTTGTTCAATAGATAGTCAAGTCTCTCTGCTGAACTTGAAGGTACTATGTATTAAAGTAGTGCAGGCTTGTTTTTCTCCTCAAGGAAGACAAGAGTCGAGATTTTACTGGTGATTCTTCAATACAAGTACTGTGAGCTGTACAAGAGCTCAGCACAGCATAAGTTATGGAATTCTGAATGCATCCTGTGGTGTTAATTTACACCTGAAAATACAGGTTCAGTCTAAACTTCAAGGATGTTCTGAGAACTTTTTCACTGGTGTGAGCAGTCAAAATATTTGGCTCTTTATTTCAGGGAATGCCGTGATTTCTGGATTATTGCAGATGAGGAGCAGTTTTTTATGTTTTAATGACTGAGCCTCTCTGTTGGCATCTAAGACTTTGCCATTCTTCAACATCACATAAACATGGCATAGGAATCCTGAAATAGATTCTGCTAGTCTTTCTGCTGTAGTAGGAAGTTTTTCCTTTAAACAGTTTCACATGTGATGCTGCAAATTAACTCTGAATGAAATTGGTGTGAGAACAAGTCTGGGAATCAATATTTATTGCTATGTAAACACTTCTTTTCTGGAAGAAGCAAGGGATTAAAAAAAAATTAAATAACACACAAAAAATATTTTGCATTTTACCACGATTGTGGTTTCTACAACTCAGAAAAATCTGAATTGAAATGGGGATGGCTTATGTTTTAGGCTATCACAAAAACCTGTCAAAAAGTTTTAAGTGTTAATGTTGAAAAAGCTGCATCTCACTTTGTTAAAAAAAGGCAAGGCTTTTTAAATATGCAGTAAACCCAAAGAGATGGACACAGGTTCCTTCCTACTAAGAACTGTGCATAGATCTTGGATAAAGCATCTGCAAGGGATGAATTCAGAATGACAATTCTGTTAATAGTTAGGAAAAATAATTAGGCTGCTAAGAATGATTTGCTGTGAAATACTAATTTGGAAGTGTCTGCAGCAGAATAACACAGAGGAACCAACCATTGCTAATTAGAATGAAGATGAAGCATATCTTACATTGTTATGTTGCCAGACTTACTAAATTAAATTACTTTGGATTTGGTTATTACTTAGATTGTACTTTAGAGATCCCATAAAAAGACAGCATTGGGGCATTTCTTGGGTGATGTTTTGCAGGGGGTGTCTTGAAAATGAGAGAGGAATTTTTGATTTTGACTCTTTTGTGACTTCAAATTTCTTCTCCTTTACACTTGCCATAATTCAAAAACTATAATTTAAAGTTTATAGACAGAAGAGAGATCAATTAAATAAATGCTTGCATTTTTAATATGTAAAGATGCATTTTTAGGCAAAAGATTGAATGCACCTTGTTGTAGTAACTGCTCAGGAAGCATTTATAGCATTGTTTTGCTGCTGCTGTAAATTTGAGGTACTCCATGAATGGTGCCTTTTAAAATTTGTATTGCAGGGCTATACATATTTCAATAAATACTTTATTCAGTTTACAAAACATTTTTGTCAACTTTGACCATTCTAGTTCATTCTTAACTTCAAAACCCTGGAAAGATTGTCTCACTTATCAACATCAATAGTTAAATTGCAATTAAAAATTAACATTACTTATTTATATGTCTGTGGAAATCAGAAAGATTGTAAGTTAGTTCCTTGAGTTTAAGGTAAGATCCAGGCTAAAGACAATTAAACACAATCATATTGGATGTTCAGTACTAGAAGTAAGTTAACAGAAAAAATACTTATTTTAGGGAGATAAAAAAATGCAAAAGGAGACATGTTTTAGGAAAAAGGGTACCATGTTAATTAATTTTGGTTAAAATGCAGTTGGAGGGATGTAAATTAGTATAAAGTAAATATTTTTAGCAGAGGACCGGAATGCTGAATTTCCAGCATATCTGATAGGTAAACAGATGGGCAAGAAAGACTTAAAAACTACTCTTCAGAAATAAGAGAATTAACCAGGGCTTTGTTTAGCTGTTCCTGAAGAATCTGTGTATACCTCATTAAAACAGTTCCTAAAAAGAATGTAGTGTTTAAGTGATACTGTAATTTCATGTACTCAGTGAAATCCCAATAAAGATTTAGTGCCTTGGGTTTTTATTAGTAAATATTTACTTAGGTTGTGCAATGATTTCTTTCATTCTTAGGATATTTTCTATTATTCTTAAGCTAGAGGGTGCCACAGGTTTTACATTTAGATATTAAATTACCATCTTCTGTACCTTTGTGTAGTTTAATGTGATGCTTGTCTTGTTTTAGTATTACCTTAGGTGACATTTGTGTGTTTGGATGGCGTGCACATACTGTTTATTATTCTTCAAACAGGTACAAAGCCTCATTTTCTTTGGGGCTTATTGTTTCCTAGATAATTCCTGAGTGAACTCTAGACTTTAAAATATAGTTTCCCACTGCCTTTGTTATTGATATGTGGAGTAAGGCCATGAGGATTTGCCTTCTTTCGGCTGCTGCAGTTCTTCCTGGTAATCCTAAAGCCAGTCATTTCCACTGTCCTTTTGATGGACAGCTGGAAGCAGTACAGTTTCCTTCCAACCATTCCCTGTTTTCTGCCTTGCCTGGGACTGGCTGTAGGAACAGTGGTTCAGGGCAGGATCCTGGCTGGTGTGAGGCTGGTTAGGGCTCCATGGCATGCGGTTGTCCCTGTGATGGAGCTGTGTCCATCATGCCTGGCAGAGGATACTCTCCCCTCCTGTGTCAGCATAGCAGTCACACAACCCCCCCGCCCCCCCCCCCCCCCCGTGTTTCTGTGTTTTGTGTCATGTGCTCTCATTCTGTGTGCTTCTCAAAATCAGGCCAAGAGCTTTGGGCCAATTCTACCTGTGTTTAACAGCCCGTTTATAAAAAGGTCCAAGTGTGTAAGCAAAATGCACATAATTATTCAGGCTTGTCAGTTAAAAAATAGCATTTTGGATTGCAGTTTAATAGAACTAAACACGTTATTGTATAATGGTTTTGACACCTTCAGTTGAATTCAAAACAAATTGCAAGGGAACTGGACTAATTTGGTAAAAAAAGAGACCTTTGTGACAGAATTGTCTAAGACTTCGAGAATAAAATAATTTTTATGCCAAAATTTCTATTATAACCTCAGTGGATGTAAAATTTTATTATAAGAGTAATACTGTTGGTTAATATATGCTAATTCCTCTCCTCTTGTTGTATCCAAGGGGCAGAATTAGAAAAGTTGTTTTCCTCAGTTAACTTGCCTTAATAAACAATATTATGTTCTTACTTAATGATGTCTTATCAATGGCCTCAATGTCTTTAAAGCTGGCTTCAGTCGTGCTGGGGGATCTGGAGGAGCGACAGGGAAATTCCAGGATTGCTTGACAGGGGCACCGTGTGGGATAGGAACTGCATAGGCAATGTCCTGGAAGAGGCCATGAACTGCTTTGCCGAGATGCAGAGGCAGACAGAGGAGAAATTCCGCATGTGGATAGAAAAGCTAACCCATCTTGACACGGATGAAGAAGCAAGCAACAACTGGAGCCCAGGGAATCTAAAATCCAACTAGTTGCCAAAAGAATGCCCCCCTGATACACAGTCAGGGGCTTTTGTGCAGATTGCCTGATAGCCAAGTACATCCTCAACAGCTGTTTAATTCGTACATGGGCTATCAAAAATGCCGATGCGGCACTAGAGTTTCCAGTGACTTTTAATAACAATTTTCCACCCGTCTTTCCAGAGATGGAATATAGCAGAGCCTGATCTGAATCAATCATAAACTTAACAAACAAACAAAAAAAATTAAAAATAAAAATCTGATCTTTGCAATCTTGATTTATTTTGGATTCTGCTAAAAACGAGGTTTGCTTTTCTCTTTGTATGTGTTTGTTTTGTTTTCTCTTTGGGTTTTATTAACATGATATTGTTTGTTTTTCTCCTAATTTATAGTGAATATATGTAGTTAAAGAAAAAAAAATCACAGTATATACTCCTGCATGTGCCAGTACACATATATAAAAACACATTTAAAGGTGGATGGGGGGAGCCACCTAAGCTTTCGTCACCCAACTCTGGAAACTATAACTTAGAATCCTTGTCTATGTACCCCAAAAGCAGTAGGGTTGTGTTGCTACAATATGAGGATTCAGGATATTCATCCAGATGCCCCTGCATGTTAAAACATTTATATAAGGAAATAAATTTTATATTTAAAGAGATAAGCACCCTAGAGATCCAGACTAAGATACAGGACCCGTCACATTTTCTTAACTCTATTTGCTCTCAAGTTTTGCAGCTTGACCATCGCCACACATTAGCTTCTTCATTTTTAGGCAGAACTAATAAATAAGCTTACCCTAAAATTTTTAGCTGTCTATAACAAGTGTGCACAGCAGATTTAATTACTTTTTGTCTCCCATTCAGCAGTTCATTCTTGTCCAGGGTTTTTATTAGTGTCACTGCTGTGTTGCTCATGGTGTATTTATGGAGGTGTCTGCCTTACCCTGTATGCAACACAGGCACACGCACACACATCTCTGTGTGCTCAGTTTTGGGTGCAGGATATCTCCACCAATTCCAGGTGCCTGCTCTGGCTCTTCCTGGGTCTCAGTGGGAGGAGATAAGCCTCACCGAGGATGCCTCCAGTCAGTGTCTTTCCCCTCCATGAGTTGTCCCTAACCTGGTTTATCAGTGGTCCCTAAAAGATAATTTATGGTGAGATGAGTCCACCCAACCTGTGACACAGAGCGGCTGCTTCTTCCTGTTAAATGCAGTCCAGCCACATCCTTCACACTGGAATAAAGCCCAATCCTGTCTGCCCTCAGATAAGCAGCCATCAGGGATGGGTTGAGCCTTGGCACAGGAATTTAAAAGAAGGCTTGATAAGTGAACACCATGGTGTCTGATAGCTGCTGGCCTGGGTCAGGCCCAGATCACGCGTGAACACCACTGAAATAATTCTTTATTTGTGATGGGAATGCCATAGCATCAGGTTCATTTAAGTTAGGCAAGAATTTGCTGTTTTGTGGGTTTCTTTGTTATACTAATAGTTATCCTGAATAGGCAGGCTTGGAAACTGTGATGTTTTAAAGTAGGATTAATTTAAACTATATATTAGAAATATTTAAGTCTTACTATTATTGCTACATGCAGGATTTTTTGGTCACCTCTCCGATAAGGCCTTCCTTAACGTGAAGTTAACTACTCTGTAGCTACCAAAAAAATGTTATTTTTAATCAGGTAGAACTTGATAGAAGTTTCTAATGAAAATGAAATCAAAAATTTTACAATAGAAAATGAAAGCCCACAGTTTAAGTAAAGAAAACACTTAGATCTCCTTTAGCTCAGTTACTTTACATTTCAACCACAGTCATTTTTTCCCTAATTATTTTAGTTTAGTTTCTTTTTCCTCCTGTTGGGAGTAACCCCCAGTATCTTCTGTAGGTCAGACTTTTTTTGCCCTCCCTGAAGTCAGTAGGAGTTTTTCCATCAATTTATGTGACAGTTTTGGATCAAACCCGGTAACAGGAACTCAAGAAATACTTTTTATATTGTTATTATCGACATTGGTATTTTAACAATTATCCTTGTCCTAAGACAGACTTTTTTTTAAGTATATGATTGCTTCACTAAAAAAATTAGGTTAGAGACCTGTGTTATTTTCAGAGTATCTCTTTGAAAGACTGATGCAGGAGATAATTTTTAAGTACTGGGATAAAGTCTTTTCAGATCACCTTCATGCATAATTTTGATACAAAGATTTTGATACAAACTTGTTAGAAAACTCCCTTGTCTGAAATTTTGTGCATTTCAGGTAAAAGCTAAACAAGTTGTTCTATATTTGATAGCAATTTATAAGCTTATCCT